ATGAACATACTAAGATCCTGTAAGATTTGTCTGTCTTGGGTAGTTCTTTTTCTTTCCTATATCCTCCCCAGTTAGCAGTCATTTTCTTTCGAATATCAAGTGAAATAATGCTTATTCTGTCTCTTATCTGAGATATGTAAAAGCTGACTCATTTTTATTATTATTATTTTAATTTGGCCAGAGAGAAAGGGGAAGTGAGAAAGCAAGTTGTCAGCTCCAGGACTCAAACCATGGTCAGCCAGGTGGGAACCCAGCGCCTTTAACCACCATGCCACCTGCTGGCCCCAATGCTGACTCATTTTTAAAAGGCTATAATTTGAAGAGCCTTAATTAAAATTAACATTTAACTATGTGTTTTTTATTATGTGCTCTACAAATGCTTAACAAATTAAGGTTAACAAAAGCAAATCTTGATTTCATCTGTGTCTTAAATATGATGATACATTATTTTTCTTTTTTAATGAGAGAAAGGAGACAAAGGAAACCTTTTATGTAGGTCCTCTTCATTCTCAACTACTTTGAGATACATCTTTAAATAATGGTAGACCATGTCAAGGAATGTTGGTAATTATCTTTGCATACAAAAGAAAAACTAAAAGCAGTTATTTCCTTCCTAAGGTCTCGGCTAGTTTCTTAAGCCTTTTCTTCAGCTCCAGTGGAAATTTCTCATAACACTTCTTACAGACTGGCTTCATGTCAAACTCCACAAATTTATTCCTAAAGACAATTATTAAAAAGAAAGAAAGAAATTAGGAGAAATATATTTAACATAGAAATAATGTGCCATAATTTTATAAATGAAGAAACTATATGATGACACCCATAGTCATGTTAGTAAAGGACTATAATTCTAATCTCAATTCTTACTGCAGTAAAACATAAAAAGTACACAACATCAGTTAAAAATTGTCCTTATAAATTGGTACTAAACATCTATGTAACTATATCTAAATATATAGAGTATTCAGTGCTAAGTAAAAGGAAATCTAATTTAAAAATCTAATGTAAATATAATTTAAGTAATAAGTCAATCTTTTTTTTTTGGAGAGGTTTTTGCTATAGGGCGCATGCGCTTGCCAGAAAGAGAGAGAGACAGAGAGAAAGAAAGTGAGAAATGACCCCCAAGTGGGGGTGGCCACGCCTCAGTCCATCCTTTCTCCTCCATTCTGCTCTGGGGATCTTGGGCTCACATGCACCGGTGTGAGTTTAAGCCACCAGGTCCAAGATTCAAACCGCAGTCGACTACATGAGAGTCCAGCAACACTGCCATTACGCCAACTGCTGGTCCCAAGCCAATCATATTTTTAAGTATTATGAGAACACCTTAAAGAACAAATTCACTTAAAGTGAAGATTTCTACTTTTGTCATGTTAATGGTCTCTACTGGAAGCAAAATTATTTCACTTAGTATTTTAAATCAGGTAGCTCTGAAGTTTCATCTTTCCTGATAAAAAGTAACTTTTCCCCTAGCTCCAAACAAACAAACAAAAATGACCTTAAACCTTTATTTATTTTTGCTGTAGGCGAGTGCGCTCTCTGGAGACAGTGACAGAAAGCAAGAAATCACCTACCATGGGGATGGCCATGCTGCAATCCCTTCCCCTCCACTCTCCTCTCAGGATTTGGTCACACACACACATACTCCTGGCCTGAGTTTTAAGCTGCCGGGTCCAGGACTCAAACTATGGTCAACTTATGGAGGAGTCCAGCAACGTAACCACTGCAATGTAGCCATTACGCTATCTGCTGGTCCCATCTGCTGGTCCCACCTTAAACCTTTTTAAAAAGTTATTTGAGGGGCCAGCAGATAGCTCAGTGGTAACATGCTGGACTCCTTCCCACATGGCCCACTGCAGTCTGAGTCCCGGACTTGGAGGCTTGAAAATTATGCCAGGTGCATACGCATGCCCAAGATTCCAGGAGGAGAAGGGACTGTGGCATGGTCACCTCCCCTGCGGGGTGATTTCTCACTTTCCCTCTCACTGTCTTTGTCTTTCTGACAAGCACACAAGCCCTAAAGCAAAAGCCTCTTAATTTTTTTTTTTAATCAAAAAAGTTTTAAAAATTATCTTAAATCTTTTCCTTTTTTCAAAGAGAGGTTTTTGCTATAGGCCACATGCGCTCACCAGAGAGACAGAAAAAGACAGACAGAAAGCAAGAAATCATCCCCCTGGGGGACAGCCATGTGGCAATCCCTTCTCTTCCAGTCTCCTCTCGGGATCTTGGGCAGCGTGCATGCACACGTGCACGCACACACACACGCCCGGCATGAGTTAAGCCAACAGGTCCGGGACTTGAACTACAGTTCACTATGTGCGAGTTCATCGGCAAAACCATTACGCCATCTGCTGGTCCCAAGTTATCTTAAATCTTAATGGGTTATTTTGGTGAGTTAACAGCAAGTTGGTAAGGGCAATAAGTTTTTAATCACTCTTACAGAGCACGAATACAACCAGGCTATCGGTGGTTATGTTATTAATGGCAGTTGTATGGAGAACTCACTTGTTTTTAAAAGCTAGAGCAATACCTATTACCAATTTGTTTGTAAAACTGTCCTGGAGAAGACAGCTTTTCAGATGACCTCCTGGCCATCAGCCATACATTTTCGATAGGTAATTACAGTAGCTTTTTACTATTAGAATCCAGGGTCTTTCATACTGAATCGAGTAAATACACAACCTTACAACTTGTTCATCTTCTGTAAAGTTATACTTAAGCACTTGTAGAGCAAGTGTAATGATATGTTGTCATCAATGAGAAAATCTGTTATAAAACAGATTTTATAACAGTTATTTTTTTCCTTTTGAGGAAGAGGACAAAGGAGAGACCCAGACATGGCTATTTCTGCCAGGGTCTTGCTGTATCACAACCCTCCGGCGCAGCCTCCCAGTTAGCTAGGATTGCAGGCATGCACAGCCATGCCTGGAGTGTTCGGGCTACGTAAGAATTGAGTCCAGGCTACCATGTGGCTTCCAGCCTCTTAAGTATGGCACTGCCTGTGAACTACTGTGGCTGGACCAATTTTTAATATATTTTAAAAGTATATTAAACCAGACTATTTGCTTCCACATCATTTTAAAGAACAATGTTAACAACGAAAATAATTCTTAATCACGTATTTAAAATGAAAAATCTATTTCCACAACAGGAATAACTGGGTAGTTTTCACAGAGACTAATGCTGAAAGGAATTTAAATGTTACACTGCCAACTGACAGAGCAAAGGCTTCAAAGGGCAGTTTGGTGTGACCAGCACAACTGAGTTAAAATTTTCTCCCAGAATCATCTTAGAAAAAGAGCTATTGGGGGCTGGCAGGTGGTGTAGTGACTCCCACATGGCCAACTGCGGATTGAGTCCTGGAGCCGGCAGCTTGCTTTCTCACTTTCCCTCTTTCTCTCACTCTGTTCCTCTCTGGTCAAATAAATAAATAATGTTAAATAAAATAATTATTAAAAAGAACACAAAAACTATTGAAACTGTTATGTTGTTGTTGATGAAAGAAATTATCCCTGCTTTCAGAAAGACATTTAGCAAGCCTTCCATTGTTTGAATTTTTAAAAATAATTATTTAACTTTATTCATTAATTTAATTTATTTAATTTGACCAGAAAAGGATCAGAGAGAGAGACAGAGAGAAAGTGAGAAAGCAAGCTGCCAGGTCCTGGACTTGAACCACAGTCAGCCATGTGGGAGTCCAGCACCCTTAACCACCATGCCACCTGCCGGCCCCCCACATTGTTTTAATTATACATATTTGAATCCTAATTCCTCTTTAAGTAAGGAAACATGAAAACTGACACAATTTTAGAGCTGAAAACAATGATAATCATGATGGAAAATAGAATAATCATGCTAGTAATTCAACACAATTTCAAAGATTAAAATACTTCCCATAAAAATCAGGAATAAAATGGATTTGGAAGACATAGAAAAAGGAATTCATAAAGAGCAGCACTGGGCAGTGTATGAAAGTGCATATATAAACGCCAGAGACTGGGTATCTGACCATGCAAGTTAGACGGACTACTTAGATATGAGGCATGCTGAAATAAACTTAATAGCAGAACTTAGAACACATGCATTAAAAAAAAAGACTTAGACTATATCAATTCAAAGATTTTAGGCAAAGAAACCCAAGACTAGCATTTTATTTATTTATTTATTTTTAATGCCACTGGAGAGTACATGCACTTGCCAGAGAGACAGAGAGGGAAAACGCAACTCCCCGTGGGGTGTGGTCATACAACAATCCTTTCTCCATCCTGTCAATATTTTAGGCATGCATATACATGTACCCAGCATGTTTTTCAAGCCACTGAGGCTGGGATTCAAACCGTAGACTGCCATGTGGTATCTAATTCTTTTTTTTTTATTTTTGAGAAGTTTTTGCTATAGGGCGCGTGTGCTTGCCAGAAAGACAGAGAGAAAGCGAGAAATCACCCCCCAGGGGGGATGGCCACGCCGCAATCCCTTCTCCTCCATTTTCCTCTTGGGATCTTGGGCATGCACGCACACGCGCCCGGCTTGAGTTTAAGCCGCCGGGTCTGGGACTCAATCACGGTCGACTACGTGGGAGTCCAGAGACAGCCATTATGCCAGCTGCTGGTCCCATGGTATCTAGTTCCCTTAACCACTAGACTATGGGCCAGCTGAAAGGCTAATATTTAAAAGAGGTAGTTATCAGACAAAACCACGTTAGAACTTTCCCTAATATCTATTAAGAGTCTGGAATTCTTCCCCTTGAATCCAATTAGAAAATAAAAAAGGAAGAAAATGTGCCTGTACTATATTGTAATAAAGAGGTGAGTGAGTCTACCGACTGAGGGGAATGCATAAGCACAAGCAGGTATTGAGTATGGACCTTGGGGCCAGCAGATGGCACGGTGGCTAAGATGCTGTACTCCCACAGGGTCGACCACAGTTCGAGTCCTGGACCTGGCGGCTGGCTTCCTCACTTTCTCTCTCTGTCTCTCTCTGGTGAGCACATGTGTCCTATGGTAAATTAAAAATCATAAAATTAAATAAGTCTTTGTGTAGACCTTATTCTTTTAAGCTTTGTAATTTAAATAATTAAGCAGGACCAACTTTACAGAGGACAAACACTTGCATTTCAATCTCTGATGGTTACATGCCAAAAGAAAAAAAAAAACAGAAGAGAACAAAAACATATTCTGAAAGACTAACCAAAGAAGAAAGTAGTGAAAATGATGATAGTAGAGATAGAAAAGTTTACAAACAGACTGGCTTTTTCTTTTTCTGCTTGTCTTTATCCTTTGCTTCTCTCTCCCGTTTGGCAAGTCGCCTCTTAAATTCTTCGGGCATTTTCTCATAACAGTGTTTGCAGACTGGCTTTAGATCAATTTCAACAAACTTATCCCTTTGAGCAAGACAGAGAAGGGATAGAAGAAGGAACAGGGAACAACAGTTAAAGGAAGAACCTTTACATACAGAAGGCCTGAACAGAAAGGAGGAAATAAGGACTCACATAGATCTTTTTTTAATTCTAGAAACATTTTTAAACATCACCCCGAAGTTTCTAGGCTTAAGAGTCACACTAGATCAAACGGCAGACTTACTTGAGCGTTAACTTAGTGTTGCAGGTGGAGCAGGCAAAGCAGTTCACACACCAGGCCTTGTTAAGAGCAGAGACCACTAGGAAAGACGGAGAGAAGCTATCACAGGGCGCCGCGAGCTGGCAGGCTCAACCCACACGCGACCGCGGCTGTTCCCGAAGCACTCGGAGGAGGCCTTTTCTGATGGAAGAATCACGCAGCTGAGCAGCTCAGCACCATTAATAGAAGTGTATGGAATCAATCTATTCATTTATTGAGAATATTTTTTACTATTAAAAAACATGTAAGCTAAACATCTAACTGATAACTGCCGTGACCGCAGGCCTCGATCAGGGAAGATGATCACGGCCTTTTCAGCCTTCATTTACCGCTGACCCTTCCCCTCCGGAGTTCCCTGCGAGGCATGTGAAGTCTGCACGTGTCTCACACAGCCCCAGGGCCATGCAGGGAGGGACACGCACTTCATGTCAATCCGGCGGGCTTCCTGGCTTCCTGGCACGAGGCTCGCCAGCCAGCACACTCTGCCCTCTGTTCTTTCCCTCTGCTGCCCCCAACGAAGAAATACAAGTGAGATATTTTTTTCTAATCCAGATATTAATTTATTTGTCTATAGGAATTTTTCTTCCAAAGCTGACAATAAGAACAGCTTCCTTTGACAGGTTCTTTCACCTGGCAACTGTGCACTGCAGGAGGGAGTTCTATTTTCAGTGGCACCAAACTTTTCACAAACTGCACATAGGCAGTATTTCAGGAAGTATTCGGGAGTTAGGTGATGTCTGCCGAGAACCACGGAGCAGGCTGAAAACAGTGTTGTTTGAAATGTTGCAGGACGTCTCTGGCAGAGTCGTGCCTGTGGCTGTGAGCTAACAGCTGCTTCCCCTCTGTTCCAGCCCATCAGTGCTGCCTCGTGACCACAGTGTCCTAGCAGGGCCTGTAGGCAGCTGCCAGGTTTCAGCATGCGCAAGGTCAGTGACCTCTGACCTCGCACAGCACATTCCGCCATTCCTAGTAAACACTGCTCTAAAGCTTCCAGAGCTAGAATAGAAACAGGCCTTGGGTCTGCCAGGAGCAGCTCCGTAAATGCCAGGGCTGCAGTGCGGAGGCAGGGCCTAAACGGGATTATACATGAACACCGTATCTGACTCTCCCTGTACGGCACGACTACTCAAGACACAGCAGAGGAGGACACCGCAAACGGCACTGTCTCCAGTCTCCACACCACCCCAGTGTCCGAGAAACTAGTGCTGTATAAACCACACTTACCATCCCCTTCTATCACACGGTTGCAGTGGAAACAAACATCACCAAATAGCTGGGAACAAAACAAGTGGTAAGTGTTAGAACTCAGTTTCAGAACATATCATCTCAGTTCTTCCTATAAATACAAATAGCTGGTTACCTCAATCTGGAACTTGTCATTACTAGAGAAAACTAGTGAAAGTGCCCAGGCTAGTGTTTACTTCTCATAATAAAAATAATTCACTTTTATCAGTTTAAAAACCTTGAGCACCAAAATAATCAAGTAATGAAAAACATCAGCATCTGTGAGCCCCCACAGACAAGCAATAGATAAACGAATGAACCCGCAGGTAGAGGGCTGAGGGCCGAGGGCTGGATAAGCCTGGAGGGTTTGGGGCTGGAAAACACGACGTGCAACCCGGACAGGCCACAGCCATCAAGAGTGCCCGATCTACGGGGGATTCCGGAGTGAGTGTCCACGGAACACTCACAGTCAAGGGAGAGGCGAGACAGCCATCGTGGTGGAGTGCCCAGCCAGCACTGTGCCCGTGTCACCGAGAAGTCACAAAGGCTCTGGAAACCTTCCAATTTAAGGAGGCTAACGAAACAGGACACGGCTGGCATGTGGCATGGTGGTTAAGGTGCTGGACTCCCATATGGATGAACACGGTGTGAGTCCCAGACCTGGCGGCTTGCTTCCTAACTTTCCCTTTCTCTCCCTCTCTCTGGTAAAATTTGAAAAAACCATAAATAATAATAACATAAAAATTAAAAAAGAGAGAGAGAAACAAGACAACCCTAGACTATGTCCTGGAGCAGGAAAAAAAATGCTATCAAGACGCCATTGTGTCAAGTGACACAACTAGTGCAGATGACTGCTGGGTCAGCACTGACAGCTGTGGTCGGGGGTGTTCTGTGTTCTTGGGAACTGTCACTGGTGTGCTCGGGTAAAGTCCACGAACTTGCCGCCCGACCCTGCAGAAAAGACTCTGCCTGTCCAGCTGCGAGCACGCTGACAGATGTCAGCATACGGAGATTTACGTCTCCACAAAACTGGCCAAGCGCCTGCAAACCATGAGGCACACTTTAACGCTGAGTAAAAGGTACGCAAGTATTTGTGCTTCTCACTGTACAGCGTTGCTGTGAGTCTTGAGTTACTTTCCGAATAAGACGTGAAGAATAAACTGTATAGGTCAGTGCACTTCCCTAGGGATGCCCTTGTGGCTGCAGGACTGACTGGCGTTCAAGTGCCTGAGAGTGCGTTTCCAAGGAGCAAACCCGTACCTGGTTATAGTGGGTCTCACAGTACGCCAAGCCCTTCCTCTCGTAATGGCGATGTCCGAGAAATGGCTTTTCACACTTGGCACAAACGAAATGCTGGAAGAGACTGCTACAGGTCATTTCTGAATCACCACATTTTATTTATCTGCTGAAGTAAACTCCAAACTTAATCTGTCTTCAAAGAAGATACATGAAAGTTGGAGGACTCATTTCGCCTGACCAGAGGTAACCTGGACGCTTTCCTTCGGGTATGTCTGCGTCTCCGACAGGTGACCGGAAAGAGCCTGTTCAAACCCCATTGGTAAGGAAAGAGATGGCCACCCTGGCCGCCCCTGCGAGGGAGGGGCTGTTGTGCCAGGTGGACCAGGGCGCTACTTGTCTCAATAGATCACAAAAGCAGTGTGCATACTGTTTCTCATTTTCTGAAAAGCCAGTTGTCTTAAAATGTCCATCCTTAGCCCTTAGAACCGCCGCGTCTCGCCCGCACACCTGAGCCATGGAAAACTCCAGTGTGCTGGTTCCCCATGCCAATGCGCACTCACCTCCACGTGCCACTGCTTGCCCATGGCATTGACCACGCGCCCCTCAATAGGCCGCCGGCAAGCGCCACAGATGGGGACCCCCATCTTGTCGTGGCACGGCAGGCAGTACAGCTCCCCCTTCAGCTCCCGGGCGTCAGCAGTCAGCTCCTTCCTGTCCGGGAGTAAGACACACAGGTGAACACGTCTACGGACAGAGGAACACAGGCGGCCAGTGTGGCCAGCACAGTTTCGAGGGCGGTTCTGAAAATATTAATGTA